GTGGGCTTGAACAGTTTGGTGTGAAATACAATTTACAGTGTGTTTTTCTGTGGGCTTGAACAGTTTGGTGTGAAATACAATTACACACAGTGGCTTTCTGTGGATTTGATCAGTTTGGTGTGACATACAGTTACATACAGTGGATTTCTGTTGAGTTGAACAGTTTGATGTGAAATACAGTTACACACAGTGGCTCTCTGTGGACTTGAACAGTTTGATGTGAACTGTTTCAAGCCACGCACCATATATTATGGCATTGATTGTTGATATGGTTTATTATTTCATCCAGTTATTCTTTTTTAAGTTTTGGTAATGTTAAAAAATTTGGTATCTCATATGTTTATCAGTGTTATATTAAAGATTAGTGAAAACTTAAATTATTTGTTTTAATGCTTTATTGTGTGTTTGTTATTGCATACACATACATTATTAGGTAGTTTTGAAGATTATGATGCCTTGTACTCTTATACACTACATTGTTTTGGATGCTTTCAAAAGATTTGTTGTATTGTACATCGTCGTAGTCATTAAGGTTGTTTGGTGTTCCATTCAGTTACTCAGTGTTTAAGTAATTTTGAAAATCTGTACACTTGTGAAGTGTGGTTGTAAGTGCTTTTGAAAAAGTTTGATGTGTTGAACACTTACATAGTAATTATTTTTTTGAACTGATATCTCATACACTTACAGAGTAAACTATCTTTGTTTCTTACATCTACACAATGTTTTGCTCTTTAGTTTAAATAGCTTGGGTTCTCTCACATTTACTGTAGTGATGTGAAGAGTAATACAAGTTACACAGTGCAGTTTTCTGTCTTGTGCATTTATACGGTAACTTTCTGTTGTACTGTAATTCTGAAGTATTTTGGGATACCATATACATGCATGCAAACACACACAGTGTTTTGTTCTGTTGATTTGAAGATCATGTGACTTGTATCTACACACACTGTTGTGTTCTGTTGTTTTGAAGAGCATGTGACTTGTATCTACACACACTGTTGTGTTCTGTGGTTTTGAAGAGCA